CTCCAACACTGGAAGTTTTTAAGAAGATGTTGGATAACCATTTGTCTGAAGGGGTGTAGGGTTCCCTGCCTAAGCAGGGGGGTTGGACTAGAAGACCTCCAAGGTTCCTTCCAACTCTGTTATTCTATTCTATTCTATTCTATTCTATTCTGCAAGATGTACTTTGGGGGAGAATGATGGAAAGTTAATCAAACACAGAATATTTGAGCCGTTCAGTTAATGAAATCTCTTTTCTCCCACTTTCTCTGCCATGTGTAGGTGCTCATCTCCAGTTCTTAAACTTTTCCACCGAGCCTAATCACGACTTTGTTGAAATTCGCAATGGGCCATACGACACCAGTAACATCATCAGCCGATTTAGTGGGACTGACCTCCCAGGCTCCCTTCTTTCCACGTCACACGAAACCACCATATATTTCCACAGTGACCACTCACAGAACAAGCCTGGTTTTAAAGTAGAATATCAAGGTAAGGAGCAGGCAGCTGAGAAGGCTAAGAATGGAGCACCCCCCATTGTCTTTGGGGCACTTGCAAGAGTGATAGAGGCTATGACTACTAGCAATACTTTTAGGGTGTAATGGAAATTCTTGTTTTGCCCAGCAGTCTTGCTAAATCCCAGTAGCCTGCCAATATAGACAAGTTAATCCACAATATATTTTCCAGAAGATATTAATGCTATATACCTAAGAATTCAACCCGACTTTAATTTGCTTGGTGCTCAGACACCTCTTAATTATTACATCAGAGAAATTTCTCCTTGTACAAGTCTATTCTTTAGCTTTTTCTCTGTATTTCTACTTCAACGCAGAAGGCTTCAGATTGTTAGAATAAAATAAATTATATTCACACGTGCAAAACCAACCCCATGAAGTACATGAAAAACCCACAAAAGTTATTTTCTCCTTTGAAATAAGTTTCAAAAGCAAACTCTTTTGAATGAGTAAGATAAAGGTAAAGGTTCTCCTCGTGCATATGTGCTAGTTGTTCCTGACCCCTAGGGGGCGGTGCTCATCTCCATTTCAAAGCTGAAGAGTCAGCGCTGCCCGAAGACGTCTCAGTGGTCATGTGGCCAGTATGACTAAATGCCGAAGGCGCACAGAACGCTGTTACCTTCCCACCAAAGGTGGTCCCTATTTTTCTGCTGGCATTTTTTACGTGCTTTCGAACTGCTAGGTTGGCAGAAGCTGGGACAAGTAACGAAACCTCACTCCGTTGCACAGTGCTAGGGATTTGAACCACCAAATTGCCAACCTTTCTGATCGATAATCTCAGTGTCTTAGCCATCATGGGTACAAAATCATGTAATCATACAAAAAAAAAAATCATACAAATGTAAGTGCTGCTATTTAAAAATAAAGAATGCAAGAGAATTCCCCGTGTCTGGTGCTAGCCCAAAAAGAAAGATTCAGAATTTTAGCGTGCTTCTCGACAGATTTAACAATAAAATTCAAAACACCCAGTGTCTGTTGTTTTGTAATTTGCTGCCATATGCCAGTCAAGTTTTTATTTCCTTGCTCTCAATCTCCTAAGCAGTTTTAATATCCCTCCCCATGCTCACTTTCCAAATTTATTTCATGCAGATCAAACATACATATCAAACCAGAGTCATTTTTAATTATTTCAGCTATATGCAGGTCTATAATCAAAATGTTCAGTGCAATATTTATGAACAGCATGATATGCAATGAAATCCATACAATTTAATTTATGTGAATGTGTTTAGCAATTAGTACCAGAAATTTAAATTGGAGTTGGAAATGAACGGAGATCCAGTGAAGTTGGTACTATATTGAAGTTGGTACTATTTTATGATTGTTTCGCTGTGCAATTATTAATCTGACTGTAGACTGAAGATTCTGGACTGACTACAGATAATCCTTGAACTAATAATGTAATGGATTTTGTCCATCATAGTTGTAAAATGGGTCGAGGTTATGACTGATCTGATTTTGTAACAATTTTTGCAACAATCATTAAGTGATTCACCATGATTGTTAAGTGGATTTGTGGTTGTTAAGTGAATTCTGTGGTCATTAAGCAGACAAATATTTTGCTATTGACACTATTTTGCAGAAAATCAGAATGCTGGTTTTCAGCAAAGCCATTGTAAAATGCAGTCATGTGGCCACAGGGCACTGCAAATAGCCATAAATAAAATCCAGTTGCTGAACATCTGAATTGTGATCAGGTGATTGCTTTAAGGGCAACTTTTGAAATTTCAACTCTGGGTTGTAAATGCCCTCCAAATGGCTTCAATCATTAGTCAAGGACTATCTATACAAAATTATCCCAATTTAGAATGTATTCCAGTAATCTTTAGTAGAAGAATATCATAAAGCCATGGTGTTTTCACTTGGCTGGGATGATCATTGTTAGAACAAACTAATCTTGTAAATCAGCCCATATGACAAGGTATTATTCTACTGGCAGGAATAGGCCCCAAAGGATCAATGGGAAATTGATCCTTTGGGGCAATGCAGCTCTTCCCATAGCTATTAATGTATTGCTGCTCTGATAGGATGAACTTCTGAACAACGCCTATCAATTTATTGGTCCTCTTATTTATATACCATATTTTTGGACTATTAAGATCCACCGGAGTATAAGATGCACCATGATTTTGAAGAGGTAAATTTTTAAAAATGTTTTTGCACTCTGCAGGCCTCCCAAACCCTCTGCATGCCTTGTTTTTTGAACTGGTGTGAACTGGCTGGATCCCATCACTGAATTTAGGGAGGGAAGGAAGAGCTCTCTAACCCTATTTGTCCATTGAAAGCAGTTCTTGGGAGAACTGGAGAAGAGTACCCCATTGGAAGCCCTGCAGATTGGCTAGAGAAGACTTCTAAACAAAATTAGGCATATGGGAAGGTTTATACAACTTGCCCATCATTGATTGTGCTGATTGTTAACTTCCTCCAAGGTTTCAAGTCAGGTTGCTCCCCATCCTCAGTTATTATTCTTCCCTTCACTATGAGCATGTGCTTCAACACTGACTAATGGTCTTTCCCTGTAAGGTAACATCTGTAGGTAAAGAATCTCTGAAGGAATAATTGATTTTAAATCCATTGCCATGTTTGTATTTTATGATATCCAGCTTATGAACTCCAGGAGTGCCCAGATCCTGAGCCCTTTGCCAATGGCATCGTAAGAGGAGCAGGTTATAGTGTGGGACAGTCCATCTCTTTTGAGTGCCTCCCTGGCTATCAGTTGATTGGACAACCAGTCTTAACCTGTCAACATGGAACCAATAGGAACTGGGACCACCCATTGCCCAGGTGTGAAGGTATGACTTTATTGAGATTTTTCTTGGAAGGGGATTATTAAGGGGAAAAAAAGAGAATATAACACACTGAATTAGTGTATTAGAGATATATCACATGCATCTTAAATGTGTATACTGGGCTTGTTAGTATTTGGCAAGAGGCATCGTAATTTATTTGTTTCCACACATAGTTTACCTATCCTTGATCACCAGCACCACTACACATTTTGGGCTACAAACTCAGGATTCAGCTGGTTTGGACCAGTTCGGACGAACCAGATGCTAATTTTAATTTGGTTGACCCAGCCGGTAGTTGAAAGGACTGTCTGATCCCGCCCACCCCTCCCCTCCCAGGAGTCTCCACGTGGCCCATTCATCATGCCAGGTAAATGCAGGGCCTGCACAGAGGATCTGGGAGGGCGAAAAATGGGCCTACTGGAAGTCTGGAAACGGGGCCATTTCCAGGCTCCAAAAGCCTTCCGGAACCCAGGGAGGCTGTTTTCACCCTTCCAGAGGCTCAAGGAAAGCCTCCGGAGCCTGGGGAGGGCAAAAAGCCCCCCCCCCTCCATCATGGTGCAGGAAGCCGACTGGGCCATGTCCACTGTTTCCTTTAAGGTGCGCGGCCGCGCACGTGGCAAGAAAACCCCATGCACCAGTTTCTAACTGCCGCGCAGGGCCCTCAGAAAATCTAGGGTTAGCACAGGCGTGGGGACGGCGGCAGGAGCTTACGTGGCACAGCTGGTCTCCTAGGACCTCCTAGGTGCCAGCTGCACTGCTCATTACCGTCAGTCGCCCCGTGTTCAGCAAAGCAAACGTGGG